GGCGTGCGTGCCTGTGAAAGGTTCTAGGCCTGCTCAACGATCAGTCGTGCTAGCTCCTCATTTGCGGCCAAAATATTTCGAACACGCTGTCGCACTCCAACACGGCGCACCAGAGATCCAAATACCAGAAAGCGCCACACTCTCCGGATCTGCAATGTTGTTGGCAATGTACTATTCAACGGCCATCAAATCCAGGAGACACACAAAATATGGAATCTCCGCACACAAATTGCAATACTTACAGTCCCTGCAACCCACCATTACATCTAAAAGATATTAGAACGTAGCCTTCCATACTGTACTCACGCAGCTTTCTCACACACCACCAGATATTTTTAGATACATTTAAGGTTTGAAGCTACGGACCAATGTCAACAGAGCTCCAACTGTCGACCTTGCATCGTCGGCCCTACCCCTGGTCTCCATATAGCTACCTGTCGAGAGATATTTTTACAAGCCCACGTCGGCCAACCGTCTACACCCTTTGTAGTCGATGGCGCCACCTCGCACGGAGCGGCCCGTGTCTTGTTCATTTTTGAATTTGCCAACAACCATGGTCAAGCTTTTCGCATCGGCTCTCTACACCGCAACTGTCCTTCTTACGGCGGTGCACGCTTGCGTCTGGGAGTCGTCCGTGGACGTCGTCGGCAACCTGACGCTCTCTTGTGCTGACGTGGCCACGGGTGCTCGCTTGGAGCCGACAAGCACGACCGCGCCCATGGTGTCGGTCGACGCGAGCGACGCGCTTCAAGTGTATGTGCGGGCGGACGCGACCCAAGAGATTCTCAACGCCGACGCCAGCGACTGGACCACCGCGTACAATGCGAGCGTTGTCGCACCAGCGTCCGGTGGCTACTCGGTCGTAATGGTCTGCGGCAAGCCTGACGGCGGCGCGTGCCACGTCTCGTACGGACTGCAATGGGCGTCGCCCGTGCCCATCCGCAACATCAGCGGCAGCACCAACAACACCGGCGCGGCGTCGATCGCCAAGTCCAACATGTTGTACACCAAGTACACGGGATGCAGCTTCACGGGCATCTACATTACAAACAATGCGTACATTTTCGTCTGCGACAGCGTGCAGCCGGGGGTGTTTACCCCCACGGTCTCGTCTGCGTCCGACAGCTTTCGCGTCGCCATCCTGGATGCGACCAACTATGAAAAGTACATGAGCAGTGCCTCTGCTGAGTGTGCCAATACCGGCTGCTCCACCATCTACAACGCGCAGTCGTACACCACGAACGTCAACATTGCCAACACCGGCACCTACGCAGTCGTCGTCGAATGCCGCAACGCCAACACGATCTGCGGCTTTAGCATCGACATCGACTTCAATGCCAGAGCGGCGCCCACGTCGGGTGGCGCGAGCTCGACGTGCCCCGCCCTGGCACGTACCAGAGCACGGACATGCGTCTGGAGCTCTCGAACTCCGGGACCTTTGCCCAGACCAACGACGGCGGCAACGGCGTCACATGCGCAACGACGGGGACGTACGAGGTCTCGGGCCAAAAGGCGTCCTTCACCGTGGCGACTGTCTCGGCCGAGTGTCGAAGCCTCTTTACACCCGGCCAAAAGCACTCGGGGCCCTTCTCGTTCTCGAGCAGCTGCCAGCAGCTCACGCTTGGCTACGCCACCAAGACGTGGACGCTGCAGCGAGTGTCCAGCGCGCCCATGGCCAGTGTGACCATGCTGCTTGCTGTGCTCCTCGCGTGGTGCGCGCTCTAGTCGCACTCGAGTCGAACGACCGCCACCGTTTTTCTACACATGAATGCATGTGGACTAGTATATGCACATCAATACAACACCATTCCATACAGTGTGTTTTATACGAGTAAGCGCGTGGCTTCCATAGACGTGCCCGTCGTGTTCCCTTCACTTGGTGGTACATTGATGTGTCGCATGATCGCAGAGGCTGAAATGCATTGACAGTTCCTGTAGCGTTATTCATGCGCTGTGCTCGGTCACAAACTAGCGGTATTACAACCGTGCGAGCCCCAACATCGTCCCTACGACTGGGATAGCTGGCACCAGCGTCGTCTCGTACATGGACGAGGTGACAACCTGCGCGGCTTTTTCCTGTACAACCAAGCCGGGTCGTGCGATGGCAGAAATGGTGAGAGAATGTACATCAATCTATTGGCCGTTTCATTTGGACGTCTCTTGTAAACAACTGGAGGTGCAAATGTCACGGTGCGTTATCTCTATCAAAACTCGCGCCGACCCACCACTCGTCGTAGGCGAAGCGCTCGTCGAGGCCACGCTCGAGCTTGATCCTGGGCGAGGGGACCATGCGCTCGGTCACCGTGTTGGCGAATGAAACAAGTCGCCCGATCGCATGGCGCGGGTGCCGGGTATATTGGCCTATCAGGGAGAGTAAAAGGCGGGAGCCAATCAAATGGCGTCGTTGCCTGCGGAAACGCACGTGGCAGCCCAACAGGCGTTTCGCCGACACCGACCGCTGGATCGAACTGCTGCGAGATACCGGTAGATAGATGGATAGATGGGAAGATAGATGTGTGGATTGATCCGATTTTGGGGCGGCCGTTTTACTCTGGGTGTCTCTTGTAAATGACTCGACTTGCGTATGCGCAGACATGTGAAAGTGAGTTATCCTGGAATCGAACGCGATGTTCGACGTGCAAATCCAGTGTGTTTTTCAGTCTTATATATGCAAATCAAATATGCAAGAGCCATCCCATCGGCCGTTTAGAGCGCACCCCACGCGAGGAAAACGCCAAGGAGGAGCATCGCACTCGTGGCCGCGGTCTCTGCGTTGGACGTTCGCTGCAGCGTCGACGGTGTGCCCGTGTAGTTGAGTGTGAGTTGGTTGCAGTCGGTGGAGAACGAAATGGGGCCCGAGAGCTTTGCGTTGGCCGTGAAGACGTTGCTGCAAACACCCGAGACGGTCGCCACGGTGAACGTTGCCATTGGACCCGAGATCGCATACGTTCCCGTCGTTGAGCACGTGTTGCCGCTGCCGTCGTGCGACTCGGTGAACGCACCAGAGTTGGCAAGGTCCACGCGCATCCCCGTCGCACGGTACGAGCCGGGAAGCGGACACGTCAGAGCTGGAGCGGGCGTTGGCGCAGGTGTCGGGGCGGGCTTCAGGTTGGGACAGATGCTGTAGAGATGACTTGGGTCATTGAGAATCGTGCCATATTCGTCGCAGGATGGAAGCTTCTTTATTGTCGACAAGTAGTTTGCTGGGCAGGTCGACGCGCAAAAGCCCGATGGCAAGTCTTTTCGCCTGTACAGCAAGTTGCCGAGGTCCCAGAACGTCTTCGTTTCCTCATAGTTGAGGAACGTCGAGCAGTTGTACCAAAGCATCGCATCATCGGCTTTGTACTTGACCGCCATATCGACCATGGAGCAATTCGCCCCGACTGCCGCGGGCGTGCACCCAACCAGATATTGGATACGTCCATCATGTTCTCCCCGTACTTGTCCACGCAGTTTAGCATCAACTTCGCGATCGAGTTGATAAAGGCCGTGTAGGTGGAGGACGCACACTGCCCCCTGGCGTCTTCGGCTGTGCGGGCTTGAAGGTCGTACAAGTTTTTGTTCTTGACACTGGAGCAGTTGAGCCACACCCGTTCGTTGAACTTCAGCCCGTCGAACAAGATCGAGTCGGCCGATGTGCACTCACCGCCGTTGGTCGTTGGGCGCGTCATCTTGATGCAGAGCTGCTTTAGTTGGTCGATCTTGGCGTGTGTTCCGGCGGTATCAACGCAGTTTGGAATGCTGCTCGTGAGGTTCTGCAGGTCGTCCTTGCACGGCGGCTGACACATGAGGTACTCCTCGGATCGGAGTGCGTTTTCGAACGACATTACGCTCATCCACATGCTATTCGCAGTGCACGGGGTCGAGACGTAGGCCGCCATGAAATTCTTGATCGTCTTCTCTTGGTCTGTCGTGCAAGACGCAGCGGTCGCGGACGTCGCCAGCATGAGCGCCACCGTCGCAGCGCAAACGAGTTTCATGGTGTTTGAGGTGAGGCAAATTGCAGACTGGGTTCTCTTATCGTTCAGGGCAGAGTCGTTTTTGGTTGGCGGTTCGAGTGTGGATATTCTTAGGATTGGTGCAGAACCGTAGTGTGAAAAGGGAGCACATCTCTCTAATACAACACTTGCAACCACCTTTGCTCGTCAGCAGCTAGTACACATCCAATCCGAAACCCGAAACGATTGGCAAAGCAAAATGGCGCGAAACTTATAGGGGTAGGGATGTTGCCTATTTCAGACACCAGTGAACCGACCGAAGCGAAACCGATACAACTGCGGCCTCTACAGACCAGTCGTGTGCGATACCCACCGAAATCGATGCGCATGCACCACCCACCCATGTCGCCCGAGGCGTCTATGGACCCACCGACCATGGACAAGAAGACATACGGCAAGATCGCGTCGCTTGCAGCCACACCGCAGCCGGCCACTGGCTGCGGTCGCTACTGTACCGCGATTGGCCGTTCGTTTTGCTCTTTTCTTGCGACGTCATTGACTATGATGAGGTCGCTTGCATCTTGATGTGTCTCTCTCTGCCCTGGAACATCGAGGTTCGTCGATCGCTGTGTTCTCGCTTTCTACTCTCATCCTGCCTTGCAAGTCATCAAGAACATCAACCACACGGAGGTCGCTGGCAGCGTCGCTAGTTGGTGGTGCGCGATGCTGGTGCGCACACGTGCCCCGCACTCGCGCAAGACCCCACGACATCGTTCGGGCCCATTTGTCTTGGCTCGCTCGTCGTCGCCATAATTAAGATCTTGCACGAAGTACTCATCCTGGCATCTCCAAAGAAGCTGCGCGGTGCATGTTCTGTTGCATCGCCGAGCTCGTCGAGGTCCTCAGCTACCAGCTCATCTATGTCATATCATACAAGTGTTGATGTGGAAGTGTTGATGGTATTTGGAGGAGACGTATCGTGAAGCGTACGTCGTAGAGTGAATCAACCTACGTGATATACCCGGCCGCAAGGGTGCTTTGCTGGCCGTGAAATGCGACATATATTCTGGTGCATCAAAGGCCGGTCGTCCCACTCGCCACTTTTAGTCGGTCTTTTCTATTTGAGGTGGCGAGAAATGTCGACCTTGCATCGTCGGCCCTACCCCTGGTCTCCAAATAGAACCTGTCGAGAGGTATTTTTACGAGCCCATGTCGGTCAACCGTCTACACCCTTCGCAGTCGATGGCGCCACCTCGCTCGGAGCGGCCCGTGTCTTGTTCATTTTTGAATTTGCCAACAACCATGGTCAAGCTCTTCGCATCGGCTCTCTACACCGCAACTGTCCTTCTTACGGCGGTGCACGCTTGCGTCTGGGAGTCGTCCGGGGACGTCGTCGGCAACCTGACGCTCTACTGTGCTGACGTGGCCACGGGTGCTCGCTTGGAGCCGACAAGCACGACCGCGCCCATGGTGTCGGTCGACGCGAGCGATGCGCTTCAAGTGTATGTGCGGGCGGACGCGACCCAAGAGATTCTCAACGCCGACGCCAGCGACTGGACCACCGCGTACAATGCGAGCGTTGTCGCACCAGCGTCCGGTGGCTACTCGGTCGTAATGGTCTGCGGCAAGCCTGACGGCGGCGCGTGCCACGTCTCGTACGGACTGCAATGGGCATCGTCCGTGCCAGTCCGCAACATCAGCGGTAGCACCAACAACACCGGCGCGGCGTCGATCGCCAACTCCAAGATGTCGTACACAATGTCCGAGGGATGCAGCTTCAAGGGCAACTTCTCTACAAGCAACGTGTACATTTTCGTCTGCAAGAGCGTGCAGCCGGGGGTGTTTACGCCCACAGTCTCGTCTGCGTCCGACAGCTTTACCGTCGCCATCCTGGATGCAACCAGCTATGAAAAGTACATGAGCACTGGCTCTGCCGAGTGTGACAATACCGACTGCTCCACCATTTACAAAGCGCAGTCGTACACCACGAGCTTCAACTTTGCCAACACCGGCACTTACGCAGTCGTCGTCGGATGCCGCAACGCCAACACGATCTGCAGCCTTAGCTGCGACATCAATTTCAATGCCAAAGTGTCCAGCGCGCCCATGGCCAGTGTGACCATGCTGCTTGGTGTGCTCCTCGCGTGGTGCGCGCTCTAGTCGCACTCGAGTCGAACGACCGACATCGGTTCTCTACATATAAATGCATCTGGACTAGTAAGCGCATCAATACAACACCATTCCATACGATTTAACTAGACTCACTTCATCAACAACACCAATCCATACAGTGTGAATAAGCGCGTGGCTTCCATAGACGTGTCCGTGGTGTTCTCTTCGGTCCCCGTGCGCTGTGCTCGGTCACAAACTAGCGGTATTTCCGCTGCGCGAGTCCCAGCATCGTCCCTACGAATAGGATAGCTGGCGCCAGCGTCGTCTCATACATCCACGAGACGACAACCTGCGCGGCTCTTTCCTATTACAACCAATCTGGGCCGCGCGAAATGGTGAGAGAATGCACATTAATCTATTGGCCGTTTCATGGGCGGCGGGGGCGCGTCACCACGACGTCAAAAGAAGATACCACACTGTCGCTGCTGCTACCGTCGCTGTCACTGCTGTATGGTATCACATAGGTGAGCTGGTATTAATAGTTGAGGACCTCGACGAGGCAGATGAACCCGAGCGATGTCGTGAGGCTCTGCGTGAGTGCGGGGCACGTGTGTGTGCGCACCAGACGTCGCGCACCATCAACCAGTGACGCTGCCGGTGACGACCGTGTGGTTGATGTTCTTGATGACCTGCAAGGCAGGATGAGAGTAGAAAGCGAGGACAAAGCGAGCGATGAACCACGATGTTCCAGAGCAGAGAGAGACACATCAAGATGCAAACGACCTCATTGTAGTCAATGTTGGCCAAGACACAGAGCGCAATGATCTTGTCGTATCAACGTGGTAACTCGAATGGATAGGAATCAAACCAGAGCAGCATTCAGCCGAGCTGCACACACAGCAAACACAGCGTGACGGGGAACAAGCCATGCAGGCTCCACACCGGCGCGGCGGCGGCGACCTTCAAGTTGGCGCCTGCAAACGGAAGGCGACGGCAAATGCCGTGCAAGTAGAACTCGACAATTAGGTACCTACCGGTATCAAAACGCGCTCTCAAAAGAAGAGACATGTTCGAGTACGCTCGTACTAGAGATCGAGGAGCGTCCGAAGGACACCTGCAACAATGGACACGTTTAAGAGCAGACCGACGACAGCGATGTCGACAAAGATGGCCAAGTTGAAGCTACAGCACCACGCCCGCTGCGTGCTCGCCCATTCTTGTGCGGAAAGCGTCCGTACCCGGCAGACCGGATAAGAGTGCGCTTCGCGGCTTCTCATTGGACAAGATAGCAAAGACTTGATACGCTCTGCGATTCTGATTGGACGAAATGCATCTTTTTTTATTGCATTTCAATTTTCCGAGTGTTCCATGGCGGCGCTCCTTTGCCTCCAGGACAACACCGTCGGCCTCGTCCTCGCCGCCCGTTCCCATGCCGACCCCCTCCTCCATGACGATGGCTTGCTGCCCCTCGGCCTATGAAGATGAGCTGCCGCCGCTCGCCTTCATGACGACCTCCTCCTTGACGACCTCTTCCATGACGACTTGACGAGCTCCATGACGGCTCTGCGGCCTCCTCCTCCATGGCGACCTCCATGACGATGACCTGCCGGCGGCCTCCTTCTCCATGACGACGACCTTGTGGCGGCGTCCTTTTTCAAGTTCACGACTTGCCGCGGTAGAACCGGCAAGCATCTCTTAGAAGTCTGAGTCGACGACGAGGCGTCCCGTCCCTGGGGATGGAGGACTAAGCTGTGTTTAGTCTCTGCTTTACATGGCGTGAATATGCTGGGGGTCGCTGCTCTAAGCTCCACGTAGCGAGTAAGCTGTGGTACGTACACACCTATGTATCCACCTTGGAAGACCTCTCACTGATCATGTAGTTTGCCTTGGAAAATGCAATGTGTCTATTACGTCTTAGTCTGCGACTGCGTTTTCTTTGCGTTCTTGGCCATCGCGGTTGCGTGCATGCTTGGTGGCGACGGATCGACGATGATGCCAGTGGCGAGGAGGCGTGCCGTCATTGCTGCCTTGTCATCGAGGGCACCGCTGTCCCGCAGCTCGCGGAAGGCTTTGGCAACGGGGGATGCGGACGCGGCCGAAAGGTTGTGCTCTTGGAGGAACGCCTTGCAGCGGGCCTCGAGGCGCTCGCCAATCTCGGTGACGAGCGACTTGTAGTGCGGCGCGTCTGCTCTCAAGACGTAGCCTTCCGTTGCGAAGAGCCGCATGAAGGCCACCACCGTCTTCGTCTGGTTCTTGTGCTGGCGGTTGCCGTTCGACGCGTCCCACTCGGCGGTGTACATCGCCGGTGTCCCCACGAACCAAGTGTACCACGTCTTGGCCATGGCCATGCTTGCAGCGCGTGTGGCCTTTGGTTTCTTCTCAACTGGCTTGCTGCCCACGATTTCCGTCTCGGCTGCACGCTTGGCGTTGGGGCGTGGCGCACGCTCGGCGAGTTCGTCGCCACCTGCAGCTAGCTGGTCCGTCAAGTCGCCGACGCGCTGCCCGAGGCGCTCCAAGTTCGTGGTCAAGTCCTTGTTGCTTGCGAGCAGAGAACGAATAAGCTGCTTGTCGCTCTCGTTTAGCATGGTTTTGATGGCAGGCTCCACGTGTTCAACCGCAGCGAAGCTAGGGCGCACCTCCATGAAGTGACGAGCCCAGTCGAGAAGACGTGCTTCTGGGAATTGAGGTCATTGAGCGCTCGCTCAACGCTGGTCACAAGCGGGCCCTTGGCGTTCGCGGCCTTGATGCGCGGTCATTGAGCGCTCGCTCAACGCTGGTCACAAGCGGGCCCTTGGCGTTCGCGGCCTTGATGCGCGGAAAGTGCATGATCAAGTACGCGACCAGCGTGCCCAACACAGCTGGCGAGGCGTTCATCTTCGGCACGTCATTCGACTCGGAATAGATGACGTCTCGAAAACGGCGGATCTCAGATCGCGTTGTCGCATCGAGCCCGTTCAAGTCCAACACAGCGACGTTGTCCCGGGGCTTGTGGCCGCTGAGAACCTTGGCGACCATTTGATCTTCCTTTGTCGTGCTGAGGATGTACCCAAACGCCTTGCTTGTACTCGTCATGCTCCACGCGCCGCGGTCGCAAATCCACTGGACACTGAGCTCGGGATGCGTATTGGCATGCTGCGCACCACCACGACAGAACGACTGCGACGTGAAGCGCTCCGTGATGCCGGCCGGGCCCATGATCCGCGTCAAAATCCGGTTGACGTATGCGTGAATGCCCGGCGCCTTGCGCTCCGACTTCATTTCGGTCTTTCTCGGGCCGGCGGCCTCGTCCTCATGACCATCGACGTCCAAGTTGATGCTGCCTGCAACGTCGCCGTTGCTTCTGAGCAAGTCGATCAAAGGCGTCCATTCCGCAATGCTAGCGGCGGCGCCAGCAGCAGGAGGAGCTTGAGTCCTCTGGCTCGGCATGTTGGGCAAAACTCTCTTGCCTGGGCACTCGACCGTGGCCAACGCAACGGCAATGGCCGTGATCGGGCACGTCGCGTACGATGCGTCTGGAACGATCGCCAAGTCATGGTCCGCGTTCGTCTTCGTGCGCGAGAGCTGAAGAAAAAACGTGTTTCGGTTGCGCGCGAGGTGCTTCTTTTGGAGCTCTGCGAGGTCAGACGCGCGCCCGAGAAGGTGCCAAAGCAACGTCAAGAGGACCGCTTCTTGGTAGTGCGCGAGCTCGGTAGCGTTGGAATACAGATACGTTGTCATCGCATGGAGCTGATCTTTCGTGCACGCCGGTGCAGGGTTCGTGACCGTGTCGTCGCGCTGGTTGCCGCAGTTCCGCTCGAGCTGCGCCGCCATCTTGTTCAACGACGCGATGCTTGGGCACCCTCGGTGCGATCGCGAGCAGCGCAACCTTGGTGTGGCGAACGTAGCCAACCACTGTACTTGGTGCAAGACTTCTTCCATTAACACCACCAACGGTGGTGAGATACCACGCAAAGCGCTCGAGTGTACGCTTGACGTTCTGGCCCGTCTTGTCGGTCTTGATGACGTTGTCCAAGGTGGCCTTGGCCATCCCTTCGAATGCAAGGTATCGGCTGAATGCGCGGGTAGCGACATCGCGAGCGTCGACGGTGTTTCGCGGAATCATCGATGGGATGCCGGTGACCATGATCCGAGTCGATGTCGCTTGGCCAGTGTCTTCGCCACCCCGCCAATCACCATCGATTGTCTGCTTGGTAACCGGATGTGTCGGCAGTGTGTCGGCACCATGGAAAACATGCAGCGATATATGAAGCGTAGTAAATGCCCTTGCATATTTTCAAATCGAGCCGACAACATTTTTGTCGGCGTCGCCCATCTGGCCCCATGTGCCGGATAAATGGTGGGAGATAACGCGTTCTGATTGGACAAAAAGGGTTTTACGAAACTCTCGGATTGGCTCGCTGGGCTAAATGGCCTGCTATCACGGCAATACGATTGGCCAATCCATAAATCTGAAAAACGCGCAAAATATGGAACGCTCACGCCAAGCGTCCTTGGCATCACAAGAGACAGCGGACCATGAAGAAGGAACTCACCCTCCTCCTCATGACGACGCTGGCGCTAGCGAGCGCCAAGCCGCTGCCGTCCTGCGGGACATGGCAGCCGACGGGCCCCGTGGGCGGCCACTACAAGACGAGCGCGGACGTCTCGGGCGCGAAGAAGCTCAACGTGCACCTCGTACCGCACACCCACGACGACCCGGGCTGGCTCCTCACCGTCGACCAGTACTTTACGCTCGAGGTCGACTACATCCTCGAGTCGGTCATCACCGAGCTGCTCAAGAACCCGGATCGGCGCTTCATGTACATCGAGCAGTCGTTCTTCCAGCGCTGGTACGTCCCCCCGATCGCCGGCAACCACATGGCATGGGGTGGGCGTAGGTGGCGCGAGCAGACGCACGAGATGAAGACGATCGTCAAGAAACTCGTAAAAGACGGTCGCTTGGACTTGTCGGTCAACGGCGGCTGGGTCATGCACGACGAAGCGGCCTCTCACTACTCGGTCATGATCGACCAGACGGCGCTTGGCCACGGCTTCTTGCTCCACGAGTTTGGGTACGCGTCATGCTGCATAGTATCCTGGTAGAAAGGGCATGCACAGCGTTAAGCCGCGCATTGGGTGGCAGATCGATCCGTTCGGCCATTCGTCGACGCAAGGCTCGCTCCTCTCGGCCGGCGTCGACTTTGACGCGCTCTACTTTGCGCGCATGGACTACCAAGACTACGAGAAGCGCAAGGCCAACAAGGACCTCGGTACTACGTGTAGTTGATTGCAAGATGATAACTCAATGACGGTGTAGAGTTCATGTGGTCGCCGTCGCCGTCTCGTCGCGAAACAATCTTTACGGGCATGATCCAGGACGGCTACTACGCGCCCCATGGATTCCAGTTTGAGGAGGACGGGCCCATCAAGGACGACCCGTACCTCCACGACTTTAACGTGTGCAACAAAGTCAAGACGTTTGTTGAGCAGAGCCTCGAGCGCGCCAAGCACACCAAAGGTGCGTCCTTGCATGCGTTGTCGTTGGTTGATATATGGAGACTAGGCAACCATATCTTTTGGCCCATGGGCTCGGACATGACGTACCAGAACGGCCTCAAGTGGTTCAAGAATATCGACAAACTCATCCACTACGCCAACCAGGAAGGCCGCCTTAACGTGTTTTACTCGACCCTCGGCAACTACACGGATCTCAAGCTCGCCGACAAGTCGCTGCAGTGGTCGACCAAGACGGACGATTTCTTTCCCTACGCCACTCGAGCGAACGCCTACTGGTACCCATCTTGCCCGATGAACCCTCGTCCTCAACTAACGCATTTGGTAGGACGGGCTACTTTACGAGTCGCCCGGGCCTCAAGCGCTATGCGCGCGTCGCCAACGGCATCCTTCAGACCATGCGCCAGCTTGAAGTACACGCGACGACGTCGTCCAATGTAGTCATCTTTACCCCGCCCTTTCGTCTCATGCATCGAGGTAGCTCTTGCATTTGGCGGCAAGCGTCAGCTTGGTGCAGCACCATGACGCCATCAGCGGCACCGAAAAGCAGCGCGTCTCGGACGACTACGCCCAGCGGCTCTCGGAAGGCCTCGCGTCCGCTACCACGCAGCTCAACCATCTCCTCGGCGCTTTGGAATCGCCTTTCGCGACGTGTCTCTTGGCCAATGTGAGTCTCTGTGAGTCCTCGACGTCGGCGGCCGAGACGTTTGAGGTCGTCGTGTACAACCCGCTGCCGTTTGCCCATACGTTTGGCGTCTCGGTGCCGATTGATACGCCGCGCGCCGACGTGGTGTTGGCGTCGACCAATGCGCACGTGGCGTCGGCGGTCGTGCCTTACGTGCCCGTGCATTTGGACGCGAAAGCTGCACCGCACACGCTGCTCTTGCAGGCCGACATGCCCGCGCTGAGTCTTATGCGCTTCCGCGTGACCAAGACCAAGGCGGTAGCAACGACGTCGACGGCGGCCAACATCTCGATCCTCGAGAACGACCACATCAAGGCCACGTTGGACCTCACGAAAGGCAGCCTCGCGAGTCTCTTGGACAAGGCGAGCCAGACGCACGTGCCGATGTCGACCACGTTTGGCTACTACCAGTCGTACTTGAAAAGCGACGACGTATGCTCGGGGGCGTACATCTTCCGCCCCAACACGAGCACGCTCCATGCCTTTCCTTCCGTGTCGAGCCACGGCTGCGACGTGGTGCCGCTGCTCCAGTCGTGTTGGTTCCGCTTTGGCAACATGGGCGTCCTCAGCTACCAGCTCCGTCCGTGGGACACGTCCTTGGTGGTCGAGTGGACGGTAGTACGGCCTGTTTTGATGTAGGATGCTCATGGTGCCATCTAGGTGGGTCCAATTCCGATCGACGACCACCAAGGCAAGGAAGTGATTCTGCGCTTTGACTCGAACGTGGCTTCCAACGTAAGGACGCGCATCTTGATACTATCAAACCAACCTGTCGGCTAGAAACGCTGGTACACGGACTCGAACGGGCTCGAGTACGTCGAGCGCGTTCGCGACTTTCGCGCGACGTGGAACCTCACGCTGCACAACGACGAGGAGCGCGTCGCTGCCAACTATGTGCCCATCACGACCGGCGCCTACCTCCGGGACGACAAAGTGCAACTCAACGTCCTCACGGACCGCGCCCAGGGCTGCGCGAGCCTTCAAGATGGTACAGTACTCCCATCGACGACGGAAATCGCTCACAGACGTTGTGATTTAGGTCAATTAGATGTGATGGTGCACCGCCGCCTGCTTGGCGACGACCACCTCGGGGTCAGTGAGGCGCTCAACGAGACCGAGACGGTACACCACCGATGCACGCCATCCACTCAATGATGACCATGGATGCTAGATTCAACTGACCAACAACCAGCCGCGCACGCAAGGCCTCACGGTCCGTGGTCACTTTTACGTGAGTGTGGGGTCGCACGAAGCAGCGATCGAGCGCTTGCGCACGACGACGTATGCACAGTTTGTTTCGCCGCTCGTGGCCCTCCGCGCCGGCTCGGGCACGTTTGTCGAGACGACGCCGCTTGGCGACGTGCAATGGCCAGCTAACATTGGTCTCACGGCGTTGCACTGGACGCACCCGCGCTGCCGCCTCGTGCGTCTAAGCCATCTCTTTGCCATCCACGAGCACTCGGTGCGTTAACAGCGCCCGAACCTTTCCATCGAAACCGAGTCTTTGTGTAGGAGTGGTCCAAGCCGGCGTCCGTGGATCTGCTCCAGCTCGTGCCTGGCGAGAAGCATGTCACGGTCAAGGAGCTCACGCTCACTGCCAACGCGGTCAAGGAGCTGTCGCCGACGACTGTGACGCTCCAACCCATGCAAGTCAAGTCGTTTGAGCTCTGCGTGGAAGGCAAGCATGCCCCGGTGTACGACGGTGCCCGCTCGTCGCTTGTCGATGGCCTCGACTTTTAGCAGCCAGCGCCATGCGCAAGCACTCTCTTGTCGTGCTGCTGCCGTGGTAATCAGACTGCAAGGCGTCTGTGGATTGAAGTCAGCCTGTGCGTTTATATTATTGTAGCAAGCACGGCTACGGATGTAAATATGCATAGCACGCTTCCTAGTACAACGAGACGAGGGCGCTGCCGTCGTGGTGGTCAAAATGCTGCATTTTCTAGTACAAGATATAGCCTTGGTTCAAAACCACAGCTTGACGTGTTCTGCAAGAACTAAAATCCCGGTTTGGAAGGTTGTTGCACCGGGTAGAATACAATGGTGCGCTACGAAGCTCTGTCTTTCCAATGCGACTCGTAACACCTCGAGACGCCACAACGAGCAGTTAGTAGGTCGTCGTAGATATGGCGCAACGAGATCTAAGGTGGCACCTAGGGAATTCCCTCAAGCAGTCGCGTCGCCATGGTGGCCGCATCAAGTCTCGACGTCAATGCTCTAAACATGGTAGTACGACGACTCCAGTCCTCCCAAGCCCTTTTTTGGACTTGTACATCGTACGTAGTCGTCGGCTGGTACGACCAAGGTGCTTCCAGGAAAATGTCATGTTCACAAGTTATCGCAGAAAGGAGCATAGGGCCCGTCGCTGGGTCCAGTACTCGAGGTACAGATCGTAGTAGAGCGGGATGACGTCGGGTTGGCGCTCGATCGTGTCCGAGTCCATGAACCACGGCTTGCTGTGCCCGCCCGAGAAGTGATACATGTAGGTATGGTTGACGCGGTCGTCGAGCGACTTGTACCCGAAGAGATACCTGTCGACATTTTCCTTGAGATTCGCCGTCAGCACCATGAACTCGGAGGGAAGGATGCCGGCCACATGCCGCCACACTTCGTTGAGAACGTCCATGTCGAAGAGCACCTGGGCTTCATTCTCAATCGCGTACTCGAGATGCTGAAAGAGCTCATTGTTCGGGTCCACGACGAGCAATACCGACGTGATATGCGGCTGCTTGTCCTCAAGCCAGTACGCGCGGGGTGCCCAAAAGACTGCGTGCGGAAGGTTGAAGAGCTCGTCGAGGTTCTTCACGACGATCACGTCCGAGTCCATGTAGATGACGCGATCGTACCCGAGCTCTTGGAAGATGCGCAGCTTTGTAAGCGACACGATGTATTCTTGGCCGCCCGTCGTGCGCCGCCAGGCGGCGACACTCAGCGGACGCACGCCGCCGTCCATCAAGACCTGGCGCGCCTGCGCCGAGACGTCTTCCGTGACCAGCGCGACGATCTCAATGAACGACGGCGTGCCAAGTGCGCGGATTTTCGTGCCGGCCATGAGCGCGTGGCAGGCTTGGAGGTCGTCGGTCGCGTAAAACATGTAGGCCAGCTTCCGGCCATCGGGCTGCACGGGCACCGGGGCCCACGGTTTGAAGCGTGGCGCGTGCGATGCAGCGAGCATTGGCGCTCGGCTGTGTCGAGGCGGCTCTGCCAAAAGGGTCGTCGCCGTGAG